AATGGCAAAAGTTACTATTAGATTCCATTTCTTCCATTCCCGCACTTTCCTTTGTACACATTTTAGCTTAATATATTTGCTAGTGGTGGGGGCCTTGTGGGGCTCGCTCATAAATTGTCAGGATTGAGCTCGATTTGAATTAGAGACTTGAGCTCAAGTCAAAAGCTTGGAAGTTCGAGCTTGGCTGCCTTTGATTGTAGGTCTCTCAAGCAGCCGAGGTTCCGAGCCCAGGTGCCCCTCAACTGCTAAAGTGTCAAGCTGAGGTTTCCCTAGTAGGCGAGGTGTCGAGCTCAGGTCTCCCTTAGTTGACAAGGTGTCGAGCTGAGGTCTCCCTCAGTTGTCAAGGTGCTGAGCCAAGATCTCCCTCAATGACCGAGGTGTCGAGTTGAGGTCTCCCTTAGTAGTCGATGTGTCGTCTAGCTCGAGCTCGATTTGAATTAGAAACTTGAACTTGAGCTCAGAAGTTTGAGCTCGGCTCCGCTCGAACTCGACTACCTTTGATTGCAGGTTTGCTAACAGCCGAGATGCCGAGTTGAGGTCTCATTCAGTTAGAGAGAGAGTGACATTCTTGTAATTTATAAGTAGAGAGAGATGTCATTCTTGTAATTTGAAAGAAAAAAAGAGAGAGAAAGTTGGTAGAGAGTGACATTCTTGTAATTTCTAAGAAAAAGGAAAGAAATACTGTTAGATTCCATTTTCTTTATTGCCTTCTTGGGTACACATTTTAACTTAATATATTTATATAAATTTTTAAGAAAAAAAGACAAAAAAATATTATTAGATCCCATTTCCCTCGTCCTTAAGCCTTCTTACATACACATTTTAGCTTAATATATTTATATAGATATAAATATAGATGTTGCACAGTATTAACTCATGTATTCACATATACTTACATATTAACTCATGTATTCACTTATGTTTTCTACAAATACACAACTCATATACTTGCATATTCGCTCTTGCACTTACTCTTTGCAATTCAACCCTTTACTAATCATACCAGGACATACCATATAGTTTCAGCCCCTGATACCATATACTTAAATCCTCGGCCCCACATCACTCAATCATATCACTTGGCAAGCACTGGGGGCTTAAGTTGCTTCAAATCTTCAGAACATTTGGAAGCTGAAATAATGTTAGACTCAAAGTAAAAAAAAAAATGGCTTAAATTATAATTTTGGGGGCTAATATCTATCAAAATAATAAAATGTTAGACTCAAAGTAAATCAGAAGCAAGCATGGTTCTAGGGGCAATATGAATTCATAATACACAGATTCGTTTCACCGTACCCAAATTATTCATTTTTCCACGCCCAACTTATAAAGTTATAAGCCCATAAAACAAACTTGTGGCGTTCTTAAATCAAAGGGTAATGAAAACCGCAACAACGCTTAATTCCATTTATAAGTAATCAAAATTAAGCTGGGGGTTAATGTGTAAGGGTGTTAACCGCATTCGAAAATCTGATTTTGAATTCAAGATTCAATATAATTGAATCGAATTTTGATAATTCGAATATCTAATTGATTTGGATATCTTTTATATATAGAATAGTTAATTGGATTCGAATTTGGATATGACCTAATTCGATTTGATAAATATTCGAATTTAACCGATTATTTAATTCTTATATATAATATAGAAAATATTTAAATATTTTATATAATTTATACATAAAATAATTAAATTATATAAATAATTTATATATTTATATATTTTATATAAATAAAATATTTATTTTATATATTTATTAATTACCTAAAATAATAAATTGATTGAATTCAAATCGAATCGAATATTCAAATATTTAATCAAATTTAAATATTAATTTTCAATATTTATTAGATATCAAATTTTCTAATTGGATTCAAATTCGGATATTGTTTGATTCGATTCAAATTCAATCCGTTTACACCCCTACTAATATGAGAGGATGGCATTGCATATATACATAGACCCAGATGACTCAGGCTGAATTTGGGTCAAATCGGTCCATTTTTAGACCAATTAATTATGGTTCAACCGTTAGTGTTGAACATCTAGAAAGTTAATAAAGCATAAGTTCTAATCAAATGATGAAACATTTTAGAAGAGCGCTATGGGTATTTTGGAAGGTTAATTAGACATGTGCATTAAATAAGTAAATAAGGGAAAATTCCATATTAAAGGGGTAAAATTGAAGAAGAAAAGAATAAGGAAGTTCTAGTCTAACTCACCCAAACTCTATATATAGGTGGTTCCATACCCATTTTAGGGACTTTTCAACCCATTGCTCCCACCGAGAGGCATATCCTCTTTCTCCTCCCCTCCCCTCCTTTTCCCCATTTTCTCTCTACTGTTTCATCCAACCAACTCCATAGATTTTCATAGTATAGTCCATTACCTCCATGGCCTTACACGATCAAATTCGGATGTTACTAAATCCATATGAACCCAACACGATTAAAACCCTAACTACGGGTAGGTATATAACTTGGACAGGTTGGGTCAAGATTAGGTTCAACCCAAGTCTTGAAGGTTTTATAGCAAAATCTTTGCCTAATACCAGCAAGAAAAATTCAAACACACCAACTGGAGAAACTATTTCTATTTTTCCTATCTAAATGGATCGAATTGGGGATTGAACAATGATATTAAAGACCCAAAAACACAAATTATCCAGATATTCCACCAATCATAATGTTTAGGAATCACATAAAATGGTCCAATCCTAGTGGTTGAAACAAGCCACTCCTTATAAGGAAAAGTATAAGTGTGTCACAAATAAACTGTCCAAGTTTATTCACTGATTGAAACATTTAATCTACATAGTAATTATGATTGTCTCTGATCATTATTATGATTTATCATAATTCTACAATACAGATCAAAGGCTATAACACATAAACATGCCCAATAACACATACAATCATATAAGAAATGAACTTTCATTCCTAATAAAAACAGTTTACATTAGATCATGAGGGCATACACTATTGAACAAGCCAACCTGAGATTAAGCCTAAAGGTACCAGTGCAGTCCTAATCCAAAGGTAAAACCAAACATCCTCAAATTTGGCCATGGGTCGGGTCAAGTTGGTTAGGTTGTATTGCCTTATTACGTGGCAAATGGGTGGATTGGATAAGGGTTGAATATCAATTCACCCATATTGAATTATTGACCCATCATAATCCATCATCAATTCTTATTAAAGGATCATAATCCACCCTAACCCTGATCCACTTAACCAATTCATATTGATTTTTAACCACCCTCATCCATATTGACTCACCTACCCTCACCTATAAATACAAAAATGGGTTGGGATGGTTTGTATACCCGAAATAATAATTTTTAAGAGGAACATCTCTATCAAGATTGTCACGTTGACCCGTATATTGAAAATAACAAAATTTTGAGAGGAACATCTCTCAAGACTGCCATGTGACAGAAAATGGGTCGGGCAACCCGTATACTTGAAAATAACAATTTTTGAGAGAATAATCTCTTTCAAGGATGCCACGTGAGATATATACCTGGAAAAAAAAACATTTTGAGAAAATCATCTCTCTTAAGACTGCACACGTGATAGAAACAGGTTGGGTTAACTCGTATATCCGAAAAAACATTTTTGAGAGAATCATCTCTCTAAAGACTGCCACGTGACAAAAACGGGTCAGGTCAATCTGTATACCCGACAATGCAAAAATTGTAGATAAATTCAGAAAATAGAAAAAAAATGCAAGAAATACAAAAAAATGCAAAAATATCAGAAAAAATACAGAAAATGCTAGAAAATTATGAAAAATGCAGAAAAATACCAAAAAATTATAGAAAATTGCAGAAAATGCAAAAAATGCATAACTTTTATAGAAGTGCTTTCGTAAAATTACTTTTATTAAATTACTTATATAAAAGTACTTTCGTAAAAGTGCTTTCATAAAAGTACTTTTATAAAAAGTACATTTATGCTTTCATAAAAGTGCTTTCGTAAAATTACTTTTATAAAAAGTGCATTTATGCTTTCATAAAAGTACTTTTATAAAAGTGCTTTCGTAAAAGTACTTTTATAAAGTGCTTTTATGTTTTCATAAAAGTGTTTTTGTAAAAGTACTTTCATAAAGTGCTTTTGTAAAAATACTTTCATAAAAGTACTTTTATTAAAGCACTTTCATAAAAATACTTCTATAAAAGTGTTTTCGTATAAAAGTAGTTTTGTAAAAGTGTTTTTGTAAAAAATAAAATTACTTTTATAAAAATGTTTTTTGTGTAAAATTGCACTTGAACACAAAAGTTAATAAAATCTATTTTGTTTTATTTTTAATCACAAAATAAAATGTGGCATGGTGGTTTAGATTTGTAATAAGATGTGTATGCGTTAAGAGAGTCACTTCAACTGCTGAAATTTTTGAGATTTGGCGAGTATAAACTCAACCCATCTTGACCCAACCCTGACCCTAATGGTACCTCGACTCAATCCACCCTATTCCAAACCAAAATCGAGGAAATAAAAAAGGGATAAAGTGATACACAGCTTCGAAAAACAGACAAGTTTTTGGTATCAGAATATGCTTGGAAATCGAAATAGACCTGCTCAAACTTGGACTAAAGCATTTTGGTATCAGAATAATAGACTCACTGTTGATAGGCTGCTGCTGTTAGTGAAATAGTTGAGAAGTTCCCGATAGATTCCAACACATCAGATTCTACTAGCACCTTTGAAATACTAACAGTGTAACCTTCCGGCTTTAATATCCGCGTCCTTGGATTGATCAGTGATTTGGTCTGGAAGGGATGAATTGGTGCCCAACCTAAACTATTCAAAAGGTCTGTGCTTATCCGTGTAGTCCTCACTTTGGCAGCCATTACCCATTAAGACGGTCTCAAGATTGTCCCAGATCAACTACCCCACAGAAAGGGCACAGTGAATAACCTGTACTTAGCCCAATAGGTTTACCAAATCCTTAGGTAATTTTGATTTTTTTTTTTTTTTTATGGTTTGGCTAATAAAAGGAAATAATCAAGCTTGTATTTCATGTTCTTATACATCATTCTGAGGTTATCAGTTGGGCACTAACATCACATTGAACAAAATCACTGAGGTGATATAGGCCTCATAGCTCAAGTATAATCCATGACAATTTTCCATTTCCGCAGCTTAGGATAAACAAAATGATCTATGAATTACAGATTGTTACAGTGGTTGATTGCTAAAGAAAAAAGAAATAGGTAGAGGTACAACAACTAACAATTTTTTTTTCAATGCTGTTGATATTGGTTGCTGAGGTTTCATCTGAAAGATGGCTATGTCACCGACACAGACTCCAATAGAGCATCAAGGTACACTTTCAGCTTCACTTTTGTTATTGCACCTTCCCTCCGACTCTCTGGGACTTCTTGCCCATTCTTGAATAGAATCAAAGTTGGCAACCCATAAACCTTGTATTGTTCAATCAGCTCTGGGTTTGAGTCATGATCAATCTTTACAACCTTTAATCTGCCTTCATATTCCTAAGATCGACAAACAAACATCATTTCAGTAAGCAAAAAGGGTATCCGGATAAGTGCAGAAATGAATTTTGACCCAATTTATAGTTGAAGATCATCTACGATGCCAGTTTTTATCAACAGAAGAAAATTTTTTCCAAACTGATTTAACATTACACCCCAAATTTTTGCATATGTTGTAGAACTAATTTGAGTCACTTCAATGACACTGAGCATCTAATGCCAAGATGTTTCTATGAAGTTACACTTAGGGCCCGTTTGGTTCACGGGAATAGGGGTCTGGAATCAAAATCAGAATGGGTCACTCTGATTCCAACTTTGGTTGGGCAGAATCAGAATCCCATTCCCATTCCTGCTGGAATGGCATTCCCCATTTCCCCCATTTGAGGGAATGGTCATTCCCTCCCCCTCCCTTGGGAATGAAATTCCATTCCAGCTTATTCCAATTCCAGTTCTGATTCCTGTCTGAACTAAACAGACTACATGAATAGACCTTCCAATTCTGATTCCAAGGGATTTGATTCCAATTCTGACTATGAACCAAAAGGACCCTTACTGTATTAGGGCAAATCAAGTCATCCCACTAATGTGATTTTGAGGCTAAGCAGAGCAAGAGTTCTGGCAATTTCAAACTACAAGCAGTATCACACAAGAGGTTAGTGATATTAAATAACCATAGCAGAGGCTTTTGATGTTTTCACAAACCTTGTGGGAGGTTTATGAAATGCAACCAATATATTATACATGTTTTAAGAATTTCACTTTTGAGTTAGGTTGGTTTTGAGGGTGGGCCTTGGCGCAATGGTTGGTAGCTCCATTGCAACCTGGGTGACCAAGGTCCGAATCTTGGAAACAGCCACCCTGTATGTTAAGGGGTAAGTGAGTCTCGTGCACTGTGCTGCCCTAGTTAGGTTGGTTTTGTATATGTAATGAAAGTGAGTCAATCTATTTTTCCCCCGTCAATAAAAGAAAAGAAAAAAGACTTGGCAGAATATACCAGAAAGAAGTAAAAACCAGAATGGTAACAAAAGAAAGACAAAAAGGAGGGTAATTAATGAACTTGGTGACTATTTTCGAACTCTCTTCCTTTTATGACCATTTACATTCTTTTACCTTTATCGTTTTCTATACTTTTAACTAATTTCAATTTTCTGGTAATCTAAAATAATTTTTGAGGTGTTTGCCACTACGTATAATTTTATTTTTCAAAACAAAAACAATTGCCACATTAGTAAAACCATGTTATTTTTTCTGATGTATCGTTTGTTTATGTTTTGAAAAACAATATCATACTGTGAAAATTCCAAGAGTGAAAACCCAATTACCTCCATACCCTATGGATGTGACTAGAACATTTTTATGTATCAGAATACCCAATTACCTCAATCTATTCAGATTGTAAGCTAGAAAGAATACCTCTTGTGAATCTCCATAAATGCGTAGATCTCCAATTGTGTTAACACCTAATTCAACCTACAACAATCTGCCAAATGCAATGGCCATTGTTGATAGTGTCTCAATGTACAAGAAGGTCACCAAACGTCCTCCCTTGCTTCCCCAAACTTTAGAAGAATATCTAGACTTATTTTAAGTCTTCCCTACAGTGTTCCACCCTTCCCAAGGGTTAGATCCGAGTTCTACCTCAAATATATCTAAATGGATTTATCTATCTAACCTAGAGGACCCTCTTTTAGAATTATAAACTCTACAAGTCCAAATTCTAGCTAGAGAAGAATCACAAGGCTTTCCTAAACCAAATCCAACTCTTTCCCAAGTGAAAATAAGAAAAAACCAAAATGCATCATAACACTTCAAAGGGAATCAATTTTGAGGCTGATTTGCTTATATGGGACCCATACGGTTCCCCAAGAGATTGGATTGAACCACAAATCAAATTCATGAGAACCAAGCAAGTCTTGTTCAGAGAGGACTATGAAATACCATACGAGTTAACGATTTGCCAAATAGCTGTCAAAACAACCATAAAGTGGTAGCTTACAGCCATAAGGCCCTTGGAACCTTTCTAAGTACAAGAAAGTACCACCTTTGTCTCCCCTAAGGGATAAAATCAAATAGGTTTTATGTTTTACAAGTATTCAACCCATAGTTTTCAATATGCCAAGGCGAGGCTAGGCGACAGGGGAGCGCCTTGTTGCCTAGTTGCCTAGCCGCTTGCCTAGGCAATGGATTTTTTAAGTAAAAAACATATATCCTAGGGTATTAGTTCCCTAGGTTCCATAACCATATTTTTTTTTATCAGCAGTTCCATAACCATATTTCCTTAATAATTACCATAATTTTCATAAGAAAAGTATAAACTTTATGTTAAAGTATAGAAAATCAGCATATTCATAAGAAAAATAAGAAAGAAAAGAAAATTCAAAGATATGGGCGCTGAACCCCTATTTTGTTATAGGAAAAGAAGAAGAAAATACAGCATTTAGCAATGTTTGTGTTGATTAAACCCTAATAAATAAGAAAATAATAAAAAGAAACTTGTATATAAACACACAAAATGAATATTTTAGTTTAATAATGTTTATTTTATAATTCTAATCTCAAAAAAATTAAGAATATAAAAGTATTTTATAACACAATGTACAAAACTGCTTGGCAATTAGGCAAGGCGAGCCTCCAAGGGCGCCTTGTCGCATAGGCGTCACCTTGACAGCTATGATTCAACAATTCAAACACTAACATGATAATCTTTTCATTCTTAATATATGGTTATTTGCATTAAAGCACTAATGGGAGGACTTATCCCCTTCTAGGCATAAATGTTTGTCTTCAATCAAATGAACTTCAAAGTATTTTGCAAAACCATTTTGGAAAATTACATATAATAATATTTATACTTGCCTAAACCTAGATCAATAAACTTCTTCTTTAATTACCTACAGCGGGAATTTTGTATTTATCTAAGCAAAAGTCATTCAACTTTACTGCACCTTTCTTCTTTGGAATTAGGGTGATGAAAGTGTGATTTAGACTTCGTTCGAGGGCACCTCTGTTCAGGAGGAATTTGAATGACTGGGAGGTGGAGTCTTTGGTCAACTTGCTACAGATTTTATATGATGCCAAGATCCCGGGAACAGGGGAGGACAAAAGGAAATGGTTGTTTGAGAAGTCGGGTTCCTTCTCAGTGAAGTCCTTTTTTAACTACCTTTCAAAGGAGGAGATTTCTCATTTTCCGAGCAACAGGATCTGGATCAGGACTGTTCCTTCAAAGTTAGCTTTCTTTGTTTGGTCTGCAGTGCTGGATAAGATTCTAACCAAGGAGAATTTAGCTAGAAGAGGTGTAGAAGTGACAGATCTGGAATGCACATTTTGTAATGGAAATGTGGAGAATACTAATCATTTGTTACTGCATTGTGACTTTACTTACTGAGTTTGGACAAGACTGCTAGAGCTTTTTGGAGTGAATTTATGCTTCCTTTAGGATGTGATGGGTTTCCTAGAGGCATGGCTCTTAGAGGCCTCAGCAAGGCTGGAAAAGTAGCTTGGAGTATCCTCCCCGCTGCCGATTTCTGGGCAGTGTGGGGTGAAAGAAATATTAGAATTTTTGAAGGGAGGCAGAAACCAAAAGAAGAGGTGCTCAACAGGATTATGGGGATGGTGCTTTCGTGGCTGACAAATCATCCCCTTTTTAAAAACAGACAAACTTGTTCTTTTTTAGCCTGATTTCCTTTTTTGTAAGAAGATCATAGTGTGTTTTTGGGTTGTTTTTGGAGGTTGGCTTTTCTGGGTTTTACTGTCTATTCCGCTGTACAGTCTCTCATTGTACGGGGGCTATATTGTATTCTGCCCTTTTGTTTTTAATGAATTACTTTACCTTACAGATTAAAAAAAAAAAGAATTCATTTCTAGTTGCTCTTTTATTTTCTCAAAGTTCATAGCTAAATTCTTGAGACAAGATTTTAGATCTTGAATCTTTCCTGCAAAAGAAGACTAAGAACAGCCTCACTCAAAGCTATTTAGCCTTTCCAACATAAAAGGTTGTTAACATTTGAGAGAAGAGAATTGATTTCATTAAAAAGATAGAGAGGGTGTACACGAAGAGATGTACAAAGGCCTTGACAACAGAAAAACAAAATCAAAGCCCACTAATTACTTGGCATTGTATTTGCACTATACAATCAGTCCCTTCCAACCCAGATTTTGCTATTGACTTCTCCTTTCAAATCCTACACAACTAAGAGCATATTTTCACCTTTTCTTTCTTGTGTAGTTCAACTAATAAGTCTTAATGATCTTGAAACATTCTTATATTCGCAAATTCTAAAGTAGAATTGTGAACATTCATGCACAAATTCAAAAGTAACTAATTATCAAACCATATTCGCAAATTCTAAAGTAGAATTGTGAACATTCATGCACAAATTCGAGTTCGATGACGGGAAAGTAGAAAGAAATCAGGTTAAAGTGGCACCTGTGAAACCCAATCAATTGCAGGGGAAATTAACTTGCATGGCCCACACCAATCTGCAACAAATTCGACAAGAACGGGAAGATCAGACGTCAGTACCGTCTCCGAGAACTGGCTCTGATTAATCTCTGTAGGACCACAGCTTATCACGAATCTTGGGACCGAGGAGACCCCGCGAAGCCCTAGCTTCCCCCAACTCCGAGACCTAAACAAGAGCCTCCTCGAAGATGGCGATCTAATAAACCAACTCGTCTGCAAGTTGAATGCCGAGGGTGTTATACGCACGGGTGGGACTGATAATCTCAAGGAGGTCGTTGGATTCAAGGTGATAGTCACCATGTTCAAGAAAACTTGGAGAGAGAGAGAGAGAGAGGTCAGAAAGGGAGCACTGCAGAAGAATTCGATTCTCTTATCTACCAAAGAATGACGCCCAAGAAGAAGCCATCCCAGGAGCTGAGAGAACGATTGGCTGTTGGCTGTTGCATGTGTGGTTTGCGCAGTTCCGAGTTGGAAACCGGGAATCTATTCTCTGACTCCGGGTAAGGTTGCAAACTAAACGGGCCCAAACCGAACCCGGACTGATCCAACCCGATAATTTTTACGGGCTGAACTTTGCGGTTTATGCCCCAATAATGTGGATTCGAGGCAATATTAGCAGAGTCCGGATTTTTATCCACATAACATCGCAGCCATACATGCGGAACATCTCATCCTTTCTTACATTTTATAGCCGCCCACAGCTACCCACAATCCCAGACATCACTATAGCCGCACGTTGAGAACATACAAGTGCTAAGCCTCTGATCACATAACGGTGCAAAGCAGAAGATCGGGCTCATGTTTAGGCCTGGGCTACCCTTATCAGTCATCACAAGTGCTAAAGCCCGTCCAGGCCCAGCCCATGATCATCATTTATCACCAATTGTCCAGCCCATTCTTCTTGTGATCCATTAGCAGGGTCCATTAATGGAACAATCCAGAACGTTTTATCCACGTCAGTGACCCGAGTCCCCATTCTCACAGTTGGACGGTTGGAGTCTACACTACTTCCGCCCCTCCTGTGCATCCACATCTCTATAAATACATTGACGATGACGAATGACGATCAGACCTTAAAAAAAAAATAAATAAATAAATAAAAGAAAGAAAGGGAAAAGGAGAGAGGGAAAAATTAAAAAAAAAAGAAAAAAAAAGGTGTTCTTTCTGTTACCAACCTCGGCTCATTCTTTTCCCTCTCCTCCTCCATTCTTTCCTTCTCCTGCAAAGCATGTCATCCGCCGGAATCTCGGGCGGCGGTGGCGGTGGCGGTGGTGCGCCTCAGCAGTATTTCTGCTACCAGTGCAACCGTACGGTCCTTATAACTCCGTCTCCGTCCTCGGACCTCGTCTGCCCTAGTTGCAATGGTGGGTTTCTCGAAGAATACGAAAACCCTAACCCTAGCCCCGCTTCGAATCTCGACTCCCTCTTGGGCTTCTCCGATAATTTCTCTGGATTGCCTTCTCTGGTCGCTGGACTCGGGTTTTCCCCTTTCTTCCCCGCCCCTACCTCTGGTGACCCACAAAACCCTACCGATCTCTCCGGCCTCTTCGGCCCCGGATTCCGCCTACGCTCGTCGCCGACTTACCTCCAAGAAGGCCCCGAAGCGTTTAATCCGTTGGCTTTCCTTCAAAGTTACCTCCAAGCGTTGAGAGCCGACGGCGCGAACATTCAGTTTGTCATTGAGAACAGCCCCGGTGACACTGCGTTCCGTCTTCCCGCCAACCTTGGCGACTATTTCATCGGTCCTGGGCTCGAACAATTGATCCAGCAGTTGGCGGAGAACGATCCCAATCGATATGGGACGCCGCCCGCCTCCAAATCGGCCATTGATGGGCTCCCGGATGTGAAGATCTCGGAGGAATTATTGGCATCGGATTTGGCGCAGTGCGCCGTCTGCAAGGACACGTTCGAGCTTGGGAGCGAGGCAAAGCAAATGCCGTGCAAACATATTTACCACTCGGATTGTATTTTGCCATGGTTGAAGTTGCATAATTCTTGTCCAGTTTGTCGATACGAGTTGCCGACTGATGATCCGGATTATGAGCAACGGAGGGGCGGGCTGGGAACGGGGAGTTCCATTGGGGATGGTGGGCCGGTCGATTCAGGCGGTGGAAGGGCAGGGCAGGAGAACAATCAACCGACAACAGAACGGAGTTTTAGAATAACGCTGCCATCAATATTTAGGGCATTTGCCTCACCTGCAGAGACGAGCAATAGTGGGGTTGGAACCAACAATGGCAGTAATGGAGGGGACCCGAACAGTGGTAATCGAGGGAATAGGGATTTTGGGTCAGAGACCAGGCAAGAAGATTTGGGTTAAGGATTGTAGGTACTGTTCTAAGAACTAGACATTCCTTCTTTTTTTTTTCCCTTGTTATATTTTTCTTTATGCATTATGCTTCTGTCGTTGTTGCTCTGCTGCTGTTGTTTACGAGTTTATGCATGGGTATATGGATTCAGAACTTGAGATTATGTGGTAATCTGTCTATCCTAGAATAAAGTTGGGTTACTTTGAAGGTTTGACCATGTGTATCTACTTTGTGACAGTGGGAGTTCCTTAAGCTGACAACAATCAACAAATCTCCTCTCCTCATGCGAGTTGTGATTTGTTGTCCAGGGCTGTTTGATTTTTGTGTATACCTTATTACATTAAAATAACCTCCCAAGCACCATGGTCCCTCCTAGAGACCTCTGATATCACTGAGTTATTCTCACATCTCATTTCTTTCTCTACAACTATTGGAGCTGTGCACATTTGTCATTACACATTCAAACCCATCCTCAGGTTGTTTAAATCTTATTGAAACAGTGAGTCTCCCAACTAACTCTTTCAAATCTTCTAGACTCTCATTTATCCACATAGCGGCAACACAATCCTTCATGAAGCTCCCCAAAAGGGTGCCAAAGCCCAACTTATGTCTCTAGAACTGCATAGGCTTCTAAATCCACCTTCTATCAATTTTTGATATAAGAACTAGATCAGTTTTTTCTCTTCTAATCACTTCTCTGTGATCCCTCTTTTCCTAGCACTGCCAATCCCGTTCACATTCCAATTTATTATATTTTTTTTATAAATATCCAATTTATTATATTTATTTCTATACTTTCTTTTATTTTCCCTTCATGTTCCCCGTAATCCTTCATTTTCTTCTGACTTCTCCTTTCCCCTCTTTTACTGAACTCCTTATTACAACCTACATCCAATTTTAATTTTTCCACCCCATTCTTTTTTTCCCCCTCTCAACATTTCCTTGTGTACACTAAAATCTTTTGAGGTTTTAAACTGAATTCCCATCCTTTTTTTTGAAAAGGTAAAGTAAGAGTTCATTAAAGGAAAAAGAAGAAGAGTACAAAGGAAGGCTCTCCAGTGCAGCAGGAGCACAAGGAGAAAAGCAGAGGCCCACAAAACCAAAAGTGGGCCAAACAACACGGAACAAAATTGCTTGGCCCAACAATGGACAGAGCACAAACACAATACTTCGATCACAGCCAAAAGGCCTAACTCCTCATTTAACTCCTTTTTTTATGCTTTGTTCATCTAATTCCTGTCTTAGTTTCTCATTTTTTTCTTTGCATCTTCTGCAGTTCGTCCATTTCCTTTTCCTTCAGCTCCTCAAATATCTGGCTTATTAATTGTCAAATTCTTTCCCCTTCCTCCTTATCCTCACCTTTTTCCTAGCCCCTTCTTCTCTACCCTTTCTTCTTCTTCCCCTTCTACACAGGTTGTGGCATCAATTGACATGGATTGAGAAGCTAAATCTGCCTCAATTGAAATGACACAATTACCTTGGGCAAGAAAGGAGAAAGTATTTCAGAGTATCACAACTTTTTTTTGTAGAAATGCATCCCTATCCTGTTCCAGAGATTGTTGATAGCCTTCCAAAATGTGCATCCCTGCTCATCGTTTGGTTTTCCTTTCCTATCTCTTTACATACACCTTGTGTTTGTTCCAAATTTAGCATTAGAACCCTCTCTATCGGATTTTCATTTTGTCTCTCCATCCCCTTTCTTTGGCCGCAGCTGTTTGTGTTTTTTCCTTCTCTCTAAGGTTCATTTCGACTTACATCTTGCAAAGTTTTAGATTCTTGATCATCTTTTGTGAAGAGGTGCTCGGTATGAAGAATATCTAGTGATTCCTTTGCTTGTCCTTTACTCTAGGTCAACACTGCCAACACTTGAGTCGTTATAAATCTCCATTACATCTGATCCATCCTGTATCATGAGTCTCTTCTAGTCCTAACTTTCATTGTTGTGTATACCTGTGATTTGGCCGATTGCAAGTGGGAGAGGGAGTTACATCAGGACACCTGTTTCATTTTTGAGCTTTCATTCACTTTTGTTGTTGTTCTTCGATCCGGTTGAACCATTCTGTTGGTCCGTTCTCAACTGAATTGGTTCATTGAAGGCTTCCTTTTGATTTTCCTTAACATTTAGCAATGATTTAGGCATACTGACCTTCCCTAGGCCTAGGTGCAATGCCTTTACAGAGGTGTGCCTAGTTTGTGCATGGTGATCCTTGCACCTCAGCCCAGGTGCATGCCTTTGTTAAAATTTGCCTTTTTTTGCCTTTTGATCTTCCATCTTTGACTCAGATTCTTCATCTTGAATATTCTGTTGGATATTGCTTTTCCGGATTCCTATCTCTTTATCTTTCCTTTTGTGGTAATTTCTTGCCTTCTTTTGTCGTGTGGCTCCTTGGATGCCACATAATACCAGGAAAGACACATATCATCTTCTCCAGCTCTTCCCTCCTTCCACCACTACGTTTCAATGGAAGTGACAATTCAAACTTGGAATTTCTACTTATTAGAGTACAATTCTACCATATGATGAGTCGTATCTTATTTAACACCAACCAACTGCATCACCACTGATCAGAGGTTACTGAAATCAAACCATCTCACCCCCACATAGTGCTGCTATCTCTCGAGAATATCTTTTGACCATAAGTGAAAAGCAGTCCTAGAAGTCACAATACTGTCTGTCTGTCTTTAGGATAATATTGCCTAGGGAAGCAAAGAAGCTAGAGAAAATGATGAGAGACTTTCTTTGGGAACTGGTAGAAGGTAAAGAAGATCATGTAATCAAATTGGAGGTTGTGAGTGGAAGTAAAGAAGAAGGGGATTTGGGTTTAGGAAAGGTGGTTCAAAAGAATCTACTGTTGTTAGGGAAGTGGGTGTGGTGGTGGCCCCTAGAGCGAGAGTGGCTTTGGCATGAAGTGGTGAAAAGTATTCATGGATGTTCAGAGAATGGGTGGGGTGTTGGTGCATCACGGAGGACTAGCTTGGCAACACCTTGGAAGGCAATTCACAGATTACTTCCACAGTTTATCAGTTGTGTCGGGTATGATGTTTTCTCTGGAAATTCTGTTCAGTTTTGGGAGGATACCTGGGTTGGATATCTTCTCTTAAAAGACCTTTTTCCTTGTTCTCTGTTTCTTTGTATAAAAAAGAGGTGATATCAAAAATGTCTGCCTTCTATTTAAAGCTCTTGGCTTTGACCTGGGACTTTGGCTTCCGTAGAGGGTCAAGGGGTGAGGAAATTGAATTTTTTTCTAATCTGCTTTGCCTCCTTGATAAGGTTTGGTTGGATCCTTTTAAGCTAGATAAAAGGTTTTGGGTCCCTAGTCCTAAAGGGAGTTTTTCTTGTGGCTCCTTTTTCAAATCCCTTTGCCAGTCTTTCACTCAATAGGTTTTCCCTTTCAAAGAAATCTGGTATAGGCCGGTTCCCCCCAAAGGTTATGGCTTTTTGTTAGGAAGTGTTGTATGGGAAAGTAAACACCTCGGATAACCTACAAAAGAGAAGACCTTTCTTTTGTATTTCACCTAACTAGTGTACTCTTTGTAGATCTCATGGTGAGGATTGTTACCGTTTATTTATTTCTTGTACGGTCACTGCAGAGCTTTGGGTTTGGCTTTTCTCTTTGTTTGGGTGCAGGTGGAATATGCTAGTAGAAGTAAGCATGATCTTTAACCCTTCTGCCTTCTCCTGACCCCACAAAAGAGGAAGGATTATGTGGAGGTGTGTGAAAACAGCTTTAATATTGACAATTTGGGAAGAAAGGAATGCCATAATCTTCTAAGAAAAGGAGAGGAATATCTTATGTATAGGGCAATACATTGGTCAAAGACCTTAGATCTCTTCCACCATTTCTCCTTTACTGACTTATGGAGGAACTGGCTAGCAGTAGCAAGCTGCTCCCCTTAGGGTAACCCCAAGTCCCCCCCCTCTCCCTTAAGGTTTACTAAAGCTGAATTTTGATGGGAGCTAGGGCATCAGGGCCTTCTGGAATGAGAGGTGTATTGAGAAATGAGTTTGGAAAGGTTGTTTGTTCTTCCCTATTCCGGTCCTTTGGGTGTTGGGAATAGGGCAGGGTTACTAGCTTCCATTACAAGGAGTGTATCATGCAAATGAATTGGGTGTGGAGCAGCTGTTAATTGAAGGTGATTCCAAGGTAGTGGTGGAATGTTTGAAGAATCCCAAGGATGCTGTGTGGTGCTACAAGAATGAACTAAAGAAAATCTTCAGGTTGCTGACAAGGAATATGTCTATAATAATACCGTGGGTGGGGGAGATCAGCTAATGCCTTTGCTGATGTTTTGGCAAAACATGGGGTAAATAGGAAATCACTGTTCTGGGCTCAGTGATCTCATATTCTTGTATCTTATGTTGTAGTTTCTGTTTAATCTGTTCGGAGAGGTGGCATCCCGTGTCTCTCGAAGGGTCTTCTCATTGTTCCAGTAATATGGAATTGCTCCTTAATCATTTCTACTATTCCATCCCAATTGTGAATCTTCTCCTTTGCTGAAACTACCAGTCATTGAAATCTTTCATCATCTTTTGTTCCTCCCCCCATCCATTTCCAGACTACTTCCTTTTCTTTTTCTCTTCCTCTTTCAGCTTGTCTCCATTATTTCACTGGTTTGTGTATCCATTTCAGACTACTTAGTTTTCCTTCTATGGAGGTTTGGGTATCCTCTTTGAAATCTGTGATGCAATTGCTTCTACTGTTAGTTACTTGGACACTATCTTCCCTGGTTCTGTTACCCAGGTTATAACTAATGGTAGGGGTTGTTCATCAAAAAAGTAATTTTAGGTGTTAAAGAAACATAGGATTTAATGATGCATATCCATGGGCTTAGATGGGTAACTTAGACAAAGTGGCTTGAATTATATATAGCTGCATGAGGTTGCTCCTGCCTATCTATCGGCGTTCATTCCTTGATTGCTTCTAATGTTGAAAGCCCATAAACTTAAATTGACCCTTTTTGGTGGAATGCAAAGACAGATGGGTGACTTGGACAAAGTGGCCTGAATGATAAAACAAGAGAAGTATAGTAGAACGATGAAAACTTGTGGTGAAGAATAGATACAAACAAGAACGAGAAAAAAGATAAGCAATGAGTTATGAGATGTCAGAATGATTAAAGTTGCAATAGCTCGTCAAATACACCCAACCATTCTTATATTAGTTCTAGTAATATTCTTAAAGCTTGAACTATGAGCCACTTTATATCTGCTGTGCTTACTGCTGAGACCTAAATAGGTGAGTCTATACCCTGGAACTACGGGGGTGTTTGCCAATGTGCAAGGTTTTGTTTTAGTAAATGCTCCCAAGTGATGTTTTGCCAAGCCTGCAAAACATGATTACTGCTAGAAAGGGACTGCTGGTAGCCTGTAAAACATAGTTACTGCTAGAAAGGGCATATCGTACTGATACTTCGAACCTTGCTTATACTATTTGGTTTTTATAGAATGACTGTTCTTGCTGGTAGCTACTGGTGGACCATTTATCTGGTTTTCTCATACATTTAGTGGATGTTAACCAATATGATTTTTTTTTTCAAAACAAAACAATTGTGAATTGCCACTTCTGCGAAATCATATTGTTTTTTCTTTATTCTGATGCTGCAGTTCTTTTTATTTTCAAAAACAAATTCATACATTCTGATGAATATCCACTTGGATTTTTACAAAAGACATGCTGAGTTTGCTTTGCCATGGTAGAACAATTGGCTATAGATCTTTCATTTGGCTTGTACATATTCTCTGAAAGCTGCAGGATCTGTCTCTCTTGTGTTAATATCTCATGCTTTTTATTCAGATTTGTGTTAAACCTTTCTGCTCTATTTGGTAAATTATTTTATAAGACATTGTTTTGGCTCCAATTTGTATACATAGTAGAATGAAATGCTTGTTTGGTTGCAAAGAGATGAAAGGTTATTGTGTTTTTCTTTGTGAACTTTGGAGTTCTGCAATGATAAGACTCGAATGCACAAAGTGGCTAAGAGAGAAAATGAGAAAAAGTTAACCCCAAATTATGTCTATGCATTGTGGATTAAGGAAGGCGATGGGAACACTAGATTCTTCCATGATTTGGCAAATAGGAGACGAAGAAAGAATTTTGTGACCAAGCTAGAGATAGGAGAGGAGGTGATTACCAACCAGGATGACATAGCCAGAAAATTTGTGGACCACTTCAAAT